TTTGTGAAATGTGGAGGAGGACACTTGGCAAGTGAGTGAACCCGCATAGAAATGCAGCCACTGGCAGCGACAACCAACCAAACTGTCAGCAGTTGCAAGTTCCAAGTTTATAAAAAGTTGTACCCCGAGACCAGTGATGACGGTGATGCTTTCTGTCGCTGCTAGTAATATTGCTTGCTGAATGATTTCATTTTAGAAATAACTATTTCTAAAGATATTTTTAATATGAAAAAAAAAAACTCGGGGATATAAAAAAAGGTTTTGAAAAAGCAAATATCCTTAAGACAAGGGTAAGAGCTTGCTAAAGGTTGTCGTGAATTTTGATTTAAAGTTCGTTTTATTAAATTTTTAGAAGTTTATTGAGGAAACCCCTTGTGCAACACAAAAACACAATATAATTACAGCAAAGTAGAGTTATACCTGTTGAAAGGCATTATTTAGAAAGAAAAAGGGAATTTCAAAAAAAAAAAAAAAAAAAAAAAAAACAGTAACGAAAAATCACAAGTCTAGCGCCGACTCCCGTAATTATAGAATTTATTTGAAATAGATAATACCTCCCAACAACATTAGGCTTTAGAGCAGTTATAGTTTGGTTTTACAGGGAACTAAATATAGGTGGCATATCCAATTCTGAATCGATTTTGACTAAATTTGACGGAGACAAAAAATATTGCTATAGAGTGCATGATATCAATTCGAAAGGGATTATATTAAAAAAAAATATATCAGAACCGAGTTCCACAAAATGAAACGTACGTCTCGAACTTCACTCCATTTGGGCTGATATTAGCCATTAATTGCACAATAAACCTGAAATCGGATTAGGGATATATATGGGAGCTATATCCAAAGCAAAGGTATTTCCGAGCTCTATAAGATATCTGGGTCAAGATATTACGAACGTGAGAAACTTAAGCACCAAATCGGATGAAACTTATATATGGGAGCTATAGCTATATCTGAAGCGATATTCTCCGAATTCGATGTACTTGGTTCTAGACCGAACTTGGTCGGATGTAGCAAAATTCAGGACATTTGGACAGATATTAGCCATTTGGTGCATAATTAACCCGAAATCGGTTGAAGATATATATTGGAACCATATCCAAATCTGAACCGATATTGATAAAATTTGGCAGAGGTATTTCAGGGGTATATCTGATAGCTGGTACCAAAGATCATTGCCGTGGTATGCATATTACTATATATCTAAAGCGATTTTCACCAAATTTAATGTATTTGTTTCTACACTGAATTCGATCTGATGTGCCAAAATTCAGGTCATTTGGACCTATAATGGGTATTTGGTGCACAATTAACCCGAAATCGGTTAAGGATATATATGGAAGCTATATCTTAATTTGAACCGATTATCACCAATTTCAAAATGGTCCGTCCTTGGGCCAAGCAAATATTGTTCGGAAAAATGCATCTCAATTGGATAATAAATGCGACCTGCATTTTGTTCACAAGAATACATGGACTGACTGATTCATAAATCGGCTCAGAAAATGATTTTATGAAGACCCTCAAAAGTAAATATGGGTCCATCTCCCTTCCTTCTCCATGTTACAAAAAAAAATGCACAAAGACATAGTGCCCACAACACTATGTGGTGTAGAATATAAAATGTCTGGTATTCTCTTTCCGTTACCTCGCCCACAACGGGTCAATTTTTTGAAAAAAAAAAAAAAAACCATGAAGCTCATGAAATGGGAAATAAGCCTCCGATTCGTTTCAAACTCTATACATCCCACTATTTGTATCAACACAACATTTGGTATTAAGGTGGAATACATCGGCCCACTCCTTCTGGTGCCTCCCGCACTATGGGATTACACTTTATAATAATCAAAACTCTCATAAAATCCGAGCTAAGCAACAGATTCTCCCTTTACTTCCCATATTTTAATATTTCTACTAACGCAAAATCTGGTATGATGCTGGATTATATCGGACCACTGCTTGTGGTACCTCCCCCCACAAAGGTGTCAAAATATTGAATAACTAAAACGATCATAAAATGCAAAATACGATTCTCTTCAAATTTCACTCACATGAGTATTATTTCTAACATGAGATCTGGTGCGAAAATTATAAACACCGTTCCGCCCTTTTGATACCTGTCCCCAAAGGATCACAATCTGCAATAATTATAATTCTTGCAAACTTGCAAAAAAAGTCAGCAATTCTATTCAGACCTCTCAAATAGAGACTTGAATATGGCCCACTCCTACTGTTACATCCCCCAAAAAGGTTAAAATTTTAATTAAAAGTTATTCGCTTATAATTCGAAATTAAAGTTTTTGTTGTCTTTAAATTTGGCCCTCCCAGAATTTTTATCATTATTAGATGCATTATAATACTTTAGTCCACTATTTCTATTACCTCAGGTATGTTTCAAAACTTTCCAACAATTATCACATATCTCATGTAAAGTCAAGGAAGTAGCCGATATTGCAAATCTGGCACGTTATAATATCAGACTTAGGTCAGATACCTAATTATTGACAGTTAATATAATTACAAGGCTATTCGGAAAACTCCGACTGACATATATTTTAATTCGTTTTCATAGACAATTTTTCAGAAAATTTTTGATAATATTTTAATATATTACTTCTGTATATGCGAACTTAATCTCAGCTGACGACTTGAAACTTTCTTCATATAAAACTTTTAAAAATAATTTTATTTCCTATGAAAATATTTCTAAAACATTGGCATTTTTTAGTTCAATAAAGTTTGTTCTAAAACCAGAATTTATGTTTTATGTAAAAATGACCCCATCTTAAAATATACAAATTGCAATTATATATTTTTCATTATACTTTTGTCTAATATTATATATTGTGTGGTCAAATTTTCCCTTTACTATCTCCAAAATTTAGAACATATTCTCCTTTACTTTTAGGATTTAACATCACAGACAATAGCTTAATATTAACTATTTCATCAAAAGAGAAACTCCAAAAAACAAAAACGAGAAACATCCAACACTTGGTCTACTTTGGAAAAACAAAACACCCAGAGTGTGTCAAATGAGTGCAAGAAATACAATATGATGATGTTCAACGAAAAACACCAAAAAAAGGAAAACAATGCGGAAAAGGCACTAAATTACAGAACATTAAACTCTTTGCAAAGAACAACAACAACAACAATTAACACTACAACTCATTTACATAGGAAAATCGCAAGGCAATGCAAAACAACACAAAAAAGAATCAAACGAGGAAAAAGATGGACAAAACATGGTCTGGTATTTAACAAGAACACCTAACAAGAAGACATGGTGAGGCTGGAGATGGTATGGGATGGCATGGAGGGCAAGGAGTTCAATTTGCACACACACACACACTGTCATTGAGTCATGTTGCTCTTAACGATTTTGCAACGACTGTAATTACGAATGACTCTATCACCAAAATTGGTAAAAAATCAGCTTTGGCCATGCAACTTGCAGCAAAGTTAGTCGCTCCAACGTGTGAGTGTGCCATGAATGCCAAAGCGAGTAAAATTTGGTCCATTGAATCAGCAAAAGAAGCAACAATTAAAAGAAAAATGTTATGTGGAGCAAAAAATACAAATTCTATTTTTGCGTAAATTTTATTTAGCCTGTTGCCTAACCGTAGTAGAGCTGGTATCCGTGTGCGCTCTCTACTGCATGTTTCCTGTGGCAATTCCAAATTCTGTTTGATGTTACTGCATGGTGTATATTTGTTCAAAACCCCCTCAAAAAAAGATAAGACAATTTTAACAATTTTTTCTCTCGTTACAGGAATTAGGTATGTCTCTGAGCCGAGAGTAGGTGAGCGTATAACCGGCCAGATTATGGCTTGTACTTTTTGGGTTCCTTTGTTAGTTAGCCTGTCATGCATTCAAACATGCAGGCCATTAAACGTGCATTAAATGCATAATGTCCAACACAACAAAGGGAATTGTATTTTCTGTGCTCTCTCTCAGTCTTGCTCTCTATCTTTACTCCAGAGAGTTGGTACTTTTTTCATTTGATTTCAGAATTAAATCACTTTAACACAGTGACACACATGTCCAGCTTGTGTGCATGTGTGCCTCCTGTAACACAATGAATTTTCTTTAGAATGCATGTGGTTGTTGTTGTTGCTGTTGTCTTCTTGTTGTGTGTAGTTGTTGTGACTCTTGTACAGCACCAGCCATTTGTTGCATGTTCTGTTAACAAATTTTATATTTCCCCTACTTTTAATGCTCGCTCACATGCTGTTGGATGCATTCGACGAGAGAACAAGCAATGCCTGAGAGAGAGAAATATGTAGAGAGCCACGATGGTTTCATGTGTGTTGTTATTCTTGAAACACACAACAAGTTTCCAAATGAGTACAAAAAACAATGTCCCTACTACTCCCAATTATATTAACATCATTATGAACATGCTGGGTAGAAAAAACAAGAACAACAATGCTATCATGGAATGAGAACATTGATGAAATGCACTCTGAGAGCAGTTGAGAGAAGGAAATCCACAACATAAATGAGCCAAAGCATTTTATAATTGCATGTTGGTGAGATGGAGAGAGAGAGAGGCCATGTACGTGTTTGTGTGGCCACGATAAACGAATGCATGCACGAGTGCATCTCCGGTATAACGGGCTCTCACCATGCCACGAATATCCGTATCCGTGTTGTGTGTGTGCGTGAGTGTGCACTCATAATGTTAAAACAACACTAGCCAGCCAGCCATCCAGTTTGTTGTAATGCATTTCATGTTGTTGCTGTAGTTAAACGACGACAATGTGTACGTGTGTGTGTGTGTGAGAAGTTGTTGCTTGACTTGTTTGCTTGTTAGTTTGAATGGCTTGCTGTGAACATGTGCATGGGTGTGTGTGTGTGTATTTCAGCCTGTGTTTATGGCGTTGTAATGTTAGTTTTATGGCAGCATGGACACACAGATATGGCTATACGGCCACATACTCTCGCCCAAAGAGCAAACAACACACAGCATTTTATTTTCAACGAGGCAACGGAGTCTCAACTAAACCGAATCATAATCAGTTTGAGTTGAAACGTTAAGCGGTAAACATGTTTTAGAAAAATAGCTCTTCCGTTACTAAAGAAAAAGAAATCACAATATTTTATACTTAACACACAAAAATCAATTTACTTAGAAAATAAATAAAAGACGACAAAGAAGAGAAAAATTTCAAACGAAAACTTAACGTCTCAAAATAATAAAACAAAATATTTATAAAAACGAAACAAAGAATAAAAAATTAGTGAAATAATTTAAAGAAAATAAAACGCTTGTTACGTTACGTCTGACCTACACACACACATGGATTACGGGTTTACGGTTTTACAACATTGAAAACAAGCGATCACAAGTGACAATACAATTTTGTTCAACAAAATAATAAAAAAACAAAACAAAAAATGTATCAACAATAATTTGAGAAAAAAAAAAAATAAAGTGAAAAAATCTCAATTAGAAGAAATTCTAAAACAATTCTGCAACAATGAAAGAATAACTGGCAAGCCATCACCAAAAGAAGTGTTCAAAGTGTAATCAACCACAAAATCCATTGAACACCCAGCCACCGCCATCATCGGGACTTCAAGTCCAAAATATTATCATCATTAGTTTTGTTTCCATAACCAACTAAAAAACAAAAAACACAACAAAAATGTCTCTGTACGCCTGCGCCTCGTTTTTGCTCCTCACCGCCGCCAGCATTGTCAGCGGTGTCAGTTCACAGTGTTCGTGGGAGTTTGTACGCACAACCATGGACATTAAATGTAATATACGTGCCATTGATGTATCGCAACAATTGGACTTACAAGTTGCCGAAACGGCAACCCGTCTCGAACTCGCCTGTTCCAATGATGTCCTGTATGCCAGCGATTTGGGCAACAAGACATTTGTACGCCTACAAAAATTGTCGGAATTGCAAATCGATTCGTGTAAAATGCAACGTCTCGCCGAGAATACTTTCGAAGGTCTAATGTCGTTGAAACGTTTGACGGTCCAGACGCACAATGCCGTTTGGGGTCCCGGTAAAACACTGGATATTTCACCCCAGGCATTTTACGGTCTACGCGAATTGTCCGAGCTGAGCTTGGCCGACAATAACATACGCCAACTGCCCGAGGGTGTTTGGTGTACCATGCAAAATCTCCAAGTCTTGAATTTGACTTCGAATCGCATTCGAGCCGCCGAGTCATTGGGTTTCTCCGAAAAACTCTGTACCTCAAATGGTGCCAGTGGTGCTGCTGAGTTGCAAGTCTTAGATGTGTCCTACAATGAATTGCGTTCCTTGCCCGATGTTTGGGGTGCCTCACGCCTTAGACGCCTACAACAATTGAACCTGCAACACAACAACATTTCCTCATTGGCAGCCAATTCCTTGGCTGGTCTATCATCGCTGCGCGTGCTAAACCTGTCCTACAATCATTTGGAAACACTGCCAGCCGATTCCTTTGCCGGCAACAAGGAGTTGCGTGAAATCCATTTGCAAGGCAATGAATTGTATGATTTGCCGAAAGGTCTATTCCATCGCTTGGAACAACTGCTGGTGCTCGACTTGAGTGGCAATCAATTGACCTCACACCATGTTGACAATAACACATTTGCTGGTCTAATACGTCTTATTGTCCTGAACTTGGCCAACAATGCCCTCACCCGTATTGGCTCGAAAACCTTCAAGGAATTGTATTTCCTACAAATTCTTGATATGCGCAACAATTCCATTGGCCACATTGAGGATGGTGCCTTCCTGCCTTTGTACAACCTCCATACCCTCAACCTAGCCGAAAACCGCCTACACACCTTGGACAATCGTATTTTCAATGGTCTCTATGTCCTTACCAAATTGACATTGAACAACAATCTCATCAGCATTGTTGAGTCTCAGGCCTTCCGCAATTGTTCCGATCTCAAGGAGTTGGATTTGAGTTCCAATCAATTGGCTGAAGTCCCTGAAGCTGTACAAGATCTGAGCATGCTAAAAACCTTGGATTTGGGTGAAAATCAAATTTCCGATTTCAAAAATGGTACCTTCCGCAATCTGAATCAATTGACCGGCCTGCGTTTAATTGACAATCGCATTGGCAACATCACCGTGGGCATGTTCAGCGATTTGCCTCGTTTAAGTGTTTTAAATTTGGCCAAGAATCGCATTCAGTCCATTGAACGTGGCGCCTTCGACAAGAACAGTGAAATTGAAGCCATCCGTTTGGACAAGAACTTCCTCACCGACATCAATGGCATTTTTGCCACCTTGGCTTCCCTGCTGTGGCTCAATCTTTCCGAAAATCATTTGGTATGGTTCGATTATGCCTTTATCCCCTCGAATTTGAAATGGTTGGATATTCATGGTAACTACATTGAGGCCTTGGGAAATTACTATAAACTGCAGGAGGAGATTCGCGTAACTACCCTGGATGCCAGTCACAATCGCATCACTGAAATTGGAGCCATGGCTGTACCCAACTCCATTGAATTGCTGTTCATCAACAACAACATCATTAGCCAGGTTCAACCCAACACCTTTGTCGATAAGACCAAGCTATCGCGCGTTGACTTGTACGCCAATGTCTTGTCCAAGTTGGCTTTGAACTCGTTGCGCGTTGCCCCCGTTGCCGCTGATAAGCCAGTGCCTGAATTTTATTTGGGCGGTAATCCTTTCGAATGTGACTGCAGCATGGAATGGCTGCAACGCATCAACAACATGACCACCCGCCAACATCCCCGCATCATCGATTTGGCCAACATTGAATGCCTAATGCCGCACAGCCGTAACGCCCCCATTCGCCCATTGTCATCGCTGTCGAGCAGTGACTTTGTCTGCAAATACACCTCCCATTGTCCGGCGACCTGCCACTGCTGTGATTTTGAACAGTGCGACTGTGAAATGGTCTGTCCCGACAATTGTACCTGTTTCCACGATGCTACCTGGTCGACGAACATTGTCGACTGTGGGAAACAGAATCGCATCAACCTGCCACAACGCATTCCCCAGGATGTCACCGATTTGTATTTGGATGGCAATAATCTGCCGGTAATCGATGCTCAGGTGTTTGCGGGCAAACGCAATCTACGTGCTCTCTACCTGAACTCCTCGAATGTGGTGACAATTCAAAACGGCAGTTTTGCCGAGCTCAGCATGCTGCGTTCCCTGCATTTGGAGAACAATAAACTGCAATCCTTGGACGGCAGTGAATTCCAACAATTGTCTCTGCTCAAGGAATTGTATTTGCACAATAACCTGCTCACGTCCATTTCGAACAATACCTTCGGTCCCTTGGTTTCATTGAAGGTTTTGCGTCTAGACAACAATCGTCTCACTGCAATGCCCATTGCCCAATTGGCTAGTCTTCAGTATCGCAACAGTCTACAGGGTCTGACAATGGGCCGTAACTCCTGGTCTTGCCGTTGTCAGTTCTTGCAGAGCTTGGCCCAGTTTGTGGCCGACAATGCTATGGTCATTCGTGATTCCCAGGATATCTACTGTGTTGATAATGGTGTTAAGCGTGAATTGGAATTGTTCACCCAGCATGGTGTGGACTGCAGTGAGCTGTTGGAAAATGCCAGCAATATGGCCTCCCAAGATGTGTCGGGCGGTTATGTGCCTCTGCTGGCTGCTGTTTTGGTGTTGATCTTCCTAATTGTGGTGCTGATCATTGTCTTCGTCTTCAGAGAATCGGTAAGAATGTGGCTATTTGCCCACTATGGTGTGCGTGTGTGTGAGCCTCGCTTCGAAGATGCCGGCAAGTTGTACGATGCCATTATTTTACATTCCGAAAAAGATTATGAATTTGTGTGCCGCAATATTGCCACCGAATTGGAACATGGTCGTCCACCATTCCGCCTATGCATCCAGCAAAGAGATTTACCACCCCAGGCCAGTCAGTTGCAAATTGTGGAGGCTGCCCGGGCTTCGAGGAAAATCATTTTGGTTTTGACCCGCAACCTGTTGGCCACCGAATGGAATCGTTTGGAATTCCGTAATGCATTCCATGAGGCTTTGAGAGGTTTGGCCCAGAAACTGGTAATCATTGAGGAGACAAATGTTTCCGCTGAGGCTGAAGATGTTGCTGAGCTATCGCCCTACTTGAAATCGGTGCCTTCAAATCGCCTGCTGACCTGTGATCGTTACTTCTGGGAAAAATTGCGTTATGCCATACCAATTGAATTGTCGCCACGTGGCAATAACTATACCCTGGATCATCATGAGCGTTTCAAGCAGCCTGTTTCACCTGGTGTATTGTTCCGCCAGGCTCCCCCACCACCAGCCTACTATCAGGAAGATATGGAAGCCAATTACTCTTCGGCCACCACTGCCACACCATCGCCCAGACCCACCCGACATGGTCAACGTATTGTTGATGCCATGCCAATGCGTCCACCAAGTGAGCATATCTATCACAGCATTGAATCGGAATATGGTTATGAACAACATGAAGCCTTGTCCATGATTCCCAATGATATGACCAGCGGTCGTCATCATCCTCATCATCAGCATTTGGCTCCTCCCTCAAACGCAATGTTTCGCCAAAGTACCAACCCTCGTTTGTCGATGAATGCGGCTGGTGCAAGTGCCGCTGCTGCTGGTCAACAGCAATGGAGACCCTCAACGTTAATGGCCCAGCCACAACAACAACAGCAGCAGCAACAACAATTCCAGCCGGCCACAGCCCCTGTACATTTGCGCAGTGGTAGCAATTTAAGTCAATGTAGTACTAGCACACAATCAACGGCCGCCTTGGCACAAACGCCCCAGCCACAAGCTTCCACTTCCGCGGCTGCCCAACAGCAGCAGCAGCAACAACAAACAGCTGCCACAGGTGTGACTCCAGCCACAAGTAATGAGGGTTCAGCGCCGTCAGCAGCGAATAAAAACACCACCAATCAAGCCTTTTTAGTGTAAGAACAGCCGCAAACAGCAAAAGGCAACAAAAACAAAGGGTAAGAAGGGCAGGGTAATAAATAGCAGCAGTCGTGCAAAAGCGACCAAAGCAGCCATTTCTATATTCTACACAGCGAGCAAGGTTGGATGACTACGATGACGACAACAACAAAGGCCATGTTTCCAAGATGGTGGATATCATATCCGTGGAAGCTTTATGTTGTAGAGAATCGCGAACCCTCTTCATCATGGCCATCGCGTAGAGCTGTAGAAGAACGGAACGGAGGATAAACCCCATACAAACTCAAAAACAAAAATACAAAAGACTTTCCATAGGAATATAGAGTAGGTAAAAGAAAAAAAAAAAATAACAAAAACAAAAAAATATGCATTTAGCCAAGAGAATGGAGCAGCATAATGGAGCGATTTGAGGTTAAACACTCAAAACGGGCAACGGGAAGATAGTAGAGGAGAAAAGCAGTACCACTTTTTTCAAATTCAATGTGATATTAAATAATTATTTAACTAAAAAAACTAATAACTATTAAAAAAAAAACAACAACAAACAAAAACTCTAATGTATTATAAATGAATAGTTAATCTAAATTATAACGAAAAAAAAAACATAAAAAACGAACCACATTCAAAGCCACTTAAATTAAATATTAGCCCTTAAAAAATATTATTTGTAATAATAATTATTATTTTTATTGATTTTTCCAAATAGGTTTTAAAATCTGCATAGAAAAAAAAACATCAACAACAACCATTACCACTACTACATGTGTAAATAGTATTCAAAGCCAGTTCTTTTTTGTTCTTGTGTGTATGTAAACAAACAAAACAAAATCATAACGAAAAACAAATTAAAATTGTTGTAAATATCGCATTAGTTATTACCTAGTAATAGTTATTGTAATGACTTCTTAGTAAGGCAAACAAAAAATTGTAATGTTATTTATAGTTTATTTGAAAACAAATGTAAATTTCTATTTCCTAAGTATATATTATATTATTATTACTATTAAAACGAAAAAAAAAACACAAAAAGTTAACTAAAACTATTAAACCGAGAGAAAAAAAAAAATCACAAAAAATCCAAAAAAACTATTAAAAATTATGAAAAAAAAAAACAAATAAAACCAAGCAAACACAGCAATGTGGGTAATCATGTTTCACATGGTTATTTCGAATATTTCAAAAAAATTAAATCTTTTCTGGAGTTTTTATTTCGAACAATGAAAGAATGAAGAATGAGGGGGATTTACATAACAAAATGGGCAAGGGAGGGGTGAAATACAAAAAAAAAAAAGAAAAAAAAAACAAGAATGAAAAGAAGAAAAACCTTTTTTCTTACACTGCTTAAAATATATGGGACAAACATAATGTGAGGAGCAGCGACACTAAGCACTCCTTAATCCACAAGCACAACAACAAATGGAAGAAGAAAAGAACACAACAACCAGCTAGATGACGAAAAAAGCAACAACACCGTGTGTTTTGTGTGTTGTTCATTACATTGTTTGCTTAAAACTCTATGAAAACTAAATGCAACAACGACAACAACAACACGTTTTCTAAAAACAAACACAGCGACACACACACCCGACCATAAAACACCATTAAATCCTACTAACAGTGACAATATATATATATTTTTTTTTGGAGAATGAGAAAGTTTTTATTTTTGGTGGGGTTTTTTGTTTTTATTAAATAATTTATTTTGTTTTAGTGGCATTGCATTAAAACTTAAATGCAGTTTGTTAGTGAGAATTTAAAATGGGAATATTTGAATAATTTTTGTTAAATTGCCGTTGGAAAATTGAATATATGCATTGGAGTTTTATGATTACGAAGAAGAGGTTCTTTCTGAGCACAAATTAGTTCTTATGAAAAGAGTATTTCTATTTGGCTGGCACTTATGCCCAAGAATTTATGTACCGACATAAAATCCCAGTGGTTCTGATTACCAATTGCAAGAGGACTTAAATAATAATATGGGATTATATGCGATTTTATGTTGCACTTATTAAATTTTTGCTGAATATTTACTGGGAGGTTCTGTCTTAACAAAAAATGTTTTGAATGTGGTATTTTAGGGATGGTTTTTTCCGCTGGACTATCGACAAATATTTTCCTCCGTAGCATAACAAGAGTATATGGTACTTTAACGATTTAAGCCACATTTTTATATTGATATTTTGGGTTACACAATGGGTACAATTTTCTATGACAAAAAAGTGGCCTGTACAGATCAAAGTTTTCGAATAACCTCCATATAATGGAACCCCCCTATACTCAGTATTCTAATGATTGCTCAGCGAAATTATTTTGAAGCTAGTATTTGGTGTTGACAATAAATAGAAAATTATCTATATGGACCCACATTTTTGTATAGCCCATATATAAGTGTGCCTAACAATTGAATAATGTGACATTTTTCGCCGCATTTTTATACCCACCACCATACTATGGAGGGTATATTGACTTTGTCATTCCGTTTGTAACTTCTCGAAATACCCATGTAAGACCCAACAAAGTATATATATTCTTGATCAGCGTAAAATTGTAAGTCGATTTAGCGATGCCCGTCTGTTGCAATCACGCTATCTTTCGAACGAATCGAGATTAAAGGCTAATACATGTTTATTTTGCCAGTAGGCAGGTTAGGTACGTAAATGGGCATTTGAAGTTCCAAAGAGATGCTACAGCCTAAGATAGAAAATTGTCTGTGCAGGTCCACGTCTTCGTATAGCCCCCATATGACGGTAACTCCCGATGTTCGGTATTTTGATGATTTTAGCGACATTAATCACCGGAATTGTTTCAAATTTGGTTTTTGAAGTTCGTAACGGATACTACAGCCTATGACAGAAAATTGTCTGTGCAGGTCCACTTCTTCGTACAACCCCCATATGACGGTACCTCCCGATATTCGGTATTTTGATGATTTTAACGACATTATTCACCGGAATTTTTTCAAATTTGATGTTTGAAGTTCCAAAGGGATAGTACAGCCTAAGATAGAAAATTGACTGTGCAGGTTCATATCCCTGTATAGCCCCCATATAATTGTACCTCCCGATATTCGGTATTTTGATGATTTTAGCGACATTATTTACCGGAATTGATTCAAATTTGGTGTTTGAAGTTCCAAAGAGATGATACAGCCTAAGATAGAAAATTGTCTGTGCAGGTCCACGTCTTCGTACAGCCCCCATATGACGGTACCTCCCGATATTCGGTATTTTGATGATTTTAGCGACATTAATCACCGGAATGGTTTCAAATTTGGTATTTAAAGTTCGTAATGGATACTTCAGCCTATGACAGAAACAGAATTTTTAACGGTTTTTATTTTTTGAAAATTTCTAAATTCGTTCTAATGGTGGAGGGTATTCAAAGTTCGGCCCGGCCGCAGTTACAGCTTTTTCACTTTTTTCAAATTAGGTAATTGAAGTTGGAGATGGATACAACTTCCTCGTATAACTATTCCATCCTATATTCGGTATTTTGATAATTAAAAATACATTTTTGCTGCGGAATTTTTCAAATTTTCAAAATTCCTTTCAAATGATGGAAGGTAGTAAAGTTTTTTTATATCCTACACCACCTATTCGTAAGAGTATTATCTTTGTGCATTTGTTTGTAACATGGAGAAGGAAGCGTAATAGACCCATAGTTACTTTTGAGAATCTTCATAGAATCACTTTCTGAGTCGATTTATGCAGATCAGTCCGTCTGTCCATGTATTTTTGTGTGCAGGTCGCATTTATTATCCGATTGAGATGAATATTCCATATTTCCAAACAATATTTGTTTGGCAAAAGGACGAACCACATTCAAATTGAGAATCGGTCCAAATTTAGATATAGCTCCCATATATATCATCAACCGATTTCGGGTTATTTGTGCAGTCCACATGAACTTAATTTTGGCACATATGACCCAATTAAGTCTAGAAGCAAGTACATCAAATTTGGTGAAAATCGTTTAAGATATATATGTTTCATCCGATTTGGTGTTTTAAGTGACTCATATGGGTGATATATACTTCACAACAATGATCTTTGGTACCAGATATCAGATACAGCTCTGAAATAAGTGCCTAAAATTTTGCCAAATTCTGTTCAGATTAAGATATAGTTCCCATATATATCTTTATCCAAGTCCAGTTTTTTTGTGCACAAAATTGCTAATATCAGTCCAAATGGACTGAATTTTGGCACTTCCGATGGAATTCAGCCTGAAAGCTAGTGCATCAAATTTTGGCGAAAATCTGTTCAGAGATAGCTATAGCTCTCATATATATGTTTCATCCGATTTGGTATTTGATACCGGGCATCAAATGCTGTTCGAAAAAACCTCTGACAAATTTTATCGGGATTGGTTCAGATTTTTATGTAACTTCATGCGTGATATGCACTCCACAACAATGATATTTGATACTGGGAATCAAATGCTGTTCCAAAATACCTCTGCCAACTTTTATCGAGATTGGTTCAGAGTTTTATATAGCTTCAACAGACACCTTCATCCGATTTTACTGTTATTGCTCACCATATATATATAATATCAGTCCAAATTGAATAGATTTTTTTCATATTCAAATGAATGTTTCTATTTTGTGGAATTCGGTCCGGTATATCTGTTGCTCCAATAAATATTCTTAAATATAATTCTTATCGAAGCCATATCATGCTATACACAGCAATGTTATTTGGAACCAGAGGTTCGATTCAGAGTTGGATACATGATACGCATTCAAATAAGGTTCATAGTTGGTATGATCTACTTCACATAAATTCCCAATATAAACTCTTTTAGTTACGGGAGCTCTACTAAATGCGCATTGTGGTGGATGGTATCATATAGTCTGCCCTGCACGACTTTTGACCTTTTCTTACTGGTTTTAAGTTTAATTACAGCAGAAGATGAATAAAGTAGTAGCAGAATCATATTCTGAGCTCATTAATGCATGTCCGCCCGTCTGCCCATAAACCAAATCTAATCGCTTATTAAACTATTTATTTTCCCTTAACTTAAAGATTAAACAGCCTATGGTTTCTATTTTCTCTACATTGGGCGTTCTTCGTGAAATTAACACTGCAACACTAACAACAAAGCAATCTTTACACTTCTTAAAGGTCATGTTCGGTTAGATCTTGCTATTAGCTTAAAATCAAAGAAATGCTTTTAAGTCGGAGACCTTTTAAATGCAAAAGAAAAACAAAAAATGTGCACACACAACATATCACCACAAATATATTTGCATACCTTCTTCATACATAGTTGTCACCTCAATTTTCTATGCATTTCTTGCGAAGAAGAATAAGGAAAATATTAGCATATAAAGAAATGGAAGCGAACAGCGAAGTGGAGAGAAGAGAATGTGGTTGTTTGAAACTGTGTCACTTTGACCATCAGAAAAGGTGTAAAGAATAATGAAAACATGGGAACACCTTAGAAAATCTATCGACAAACCATGTAATTGTTTTGAATTTCAAATCTATTGATTTTTGCTACGATTAAAAACCTCGTCAAGGAAATTAAATGCAAATATAGTGGTAAGGAAGAGGTGCATGCTAATGCGAATGTTCACCTGATTAAATCGATATACCGATGAAAAATCAAATAAACCCCTTTAAATCTCTCAAATTTGTAATTACAAAATCAAAATTTATTTCATTACAAAATTTTGAAACATTAAAATTTGAATATTTTTTCCCAATCACCACAAGATTATATTTACATCATATAATTTGTCAGTTTTTTTTTCATTTTTTAATTTTCCTTCGAGTGGCGCCAACGACAATTTCCGCTGACTCAAAGACCTTTTTCACTTAGACTTCTGAAGTGATAGTGTCCGCATTTCCATATTACAAAACATGAATGTTCATTATAATACAAGTGTCGAACTGAATGTAGCAGACAATAAAATAATGTCTTTATCAGCTTTTTGTTTAATCGCAGCTACAGTTAGGAGCCAATTATCAGACATTAAAAATTTGTAGTAACAGGAAGTAAGCAATGCCTATAATTGTTTTAAGATCGAGCTTTAAAAATCTGTATACCCCATAATGAGCTGTAATGCAGGTTATGTGTGCTTGTAAAATGC